CTATACCTATACCTATACCTATACCTATACCTATACACATACATACATACATACATACATACATACATACATACATATATATATATATATATATATATATATATATATATATATATATATATATATATATATATATATATATATATATATATATATATATATAATGTCGAAATAATGACGATCACCAAGAGGAGATAAAATATTTAAAAGCAATTAAAAAGTTTTAAAACAGTTTAAAAGCAATAAAACATTGTTGAAATTATAGGCAACCAAGCTTTCGTCAGGCCCTCCCGACATCATCAGGGTTGCTGCGGCAGTTTTTGGGAGGGTTTATATGTTGTTTTCGAGTGCCTGCATCCGGCTGCGTGATCGCGTGACTGGGCCCCGGTATATGCACTCCTGCGCGGTGCCTGCCTTCCTTTTACCCGCATGTAAGCGTTTTACCTTCTTTCCCTGTTTATTATTATGAGGCTCTTGGATGTCTTCGTCCGGGGTCCCCAGGGGTTCTCCTTTGCATCTCCCATCCCCTTCAACCCTCTCATCCTTCCCTTTTCCCATACGTGGCCCCGTTGAGGGCTGTCGTCCCTGCCAGTCGGATATCCTCCATGTGCATCCATCCATCACTCCGGCTGCGTGATCACGCGATCACGCAGCTGGATGCAGGCACTCGAAAACAACATATAAACCCTCCCAAAAACCGCCGCAGCAACCCTGATGATGTCGGGAGGGCCCGACGAAAGCTTGGTTGCCTATAATTTCAACAATGTTTTATTGCTTTTAAACTGTTTTTAAACTTTTTAATTGCTTTTAAATATTTTATCTCCTCTTGGTGATCGTCATTATTTCGACATAGTATGGACATACCCAAGAGTCGCATTTTTAGCTCTATTTCTAGCCATATATATATATATATATTTTCTGAGGTTTTCGCGGGTGTTTGTATGTAGGTCTTTGGTGATTCGGGTTCTCTCCCGCGTAAAATTGGAAGTGTCCTGGCGACGTTTCGACGAAGTCACATTCGTCATCTTCAGGCTGGTGTCTTCAGCTTCGTGCTTCTGGGAGTAGTGTGCGATCGCAGCTGTTTCTTCCTTTTAACTGCCAGTGGGGTTTGAGCTGATTGGGTGGGAGCTTGGCTGTGTTCTGATTGGGTGGAGGT